ACAGTAAAGAATTGTCATCTTAGAAGATAACGACTTGCAATGCTTGCATTTAACTACACGCACCAACAGTAAAGAATTGTCATCTTAGAAGATAACAACTTGCAATGCTTGCATTTAACTACACGCACCAACAGTAAAGAATTGTCATCTTAGAAGATAACGACTTGCAATGCTTGCATTTAACTACACGCACCAACAGTAAAGAATTGTCATCTTAGAAGATAACAACTTGCAATGCTTGCATTTAACTACACGCACCAACAGTAAAGAATTGTCATCTTAGAAGATAACGACTTGCAATGCTTGCATTTAACTACACGCACCAACAGTAAAGAATTGTCATCTTAGAAGATAACAACTTGCAATGCTTGCATTTAACTACACGCACCAACAGTAAAGAATTGTCATCTTAGAAGATAACGACTTGCAATGCTTGCATTTAACTACACGCACCAACAGTAAAGAATTGTCATCTTAGAAGATAACAACTTGCAATGCTTGCATTTAACTACACGCACCAACAGTAAAGAATTGTCATCTTAGAAGATAACGACTTGCAATGCTTGCATTTAACTACACGCACCAACAGTAAAGAATTGTCATCTTAGAAGATAACAACTTGCAATGCTTGCATTTAACTACACGCACCAACAGTAAAGAATTGTCATCTTAGAAGATAACGACTTGCAATGCTTGCATTTAACTACACGCACCAACAGTAAAGAATTGTCATCTTAGAAGATAACGACTTGCAATGCTCGCAATCACTCTGATGAAGATGTGAGCTTGTGAATCCAAAACTTTTAGCAAACAATTATTTATCGCCACCCAAATCTACAATGAACACTGATAATAAACTCAATAACTTTGGAGGCATTCTAAGGCACTAATCAATGCCCATCAAACTTTTAATATTTTCTGTTGCAAAGTAGTACAAGTTTCAATGAATAAACTGTGGTGTTCTTGCAGGCGCTGAAGGGCTGCGAGGACAGGCAGGGGATCCAGGAAATGACGGTGATGCAGGACCACGAGGAGCTAAGGGAAACCCAGGACCTCGAGGAGCAAAGGGGGATGCAGGTTAGTACGTAATTAGATTCCTTCACAAATAGAGACAATATTTCTCGCATAATTTATCGCTGCTGTTGATAACAGTCGAATAGATTACCTAATTGATTTACCACCGAATTACTATTTTTCGAAGAAAAATCTAACACCATACCATTGGTGATCAGTTGCTGCTAAGCACAGTCCTGGAAACTCTTAGGTTCAGATATAAACGACTCTCTCCTCCGCAAAGGTCATTTATTCTATAAATGTTCTTCGGTTTTCTTCGGATAGTTCTCGGAGTTAATCGTGATAGGGTGCTGACAAAAATTCTCCAGCACCATATCGCGATTAACTCCGAAGAACATTATAAATAAAATAAATGACCTCTGCCCAGGAGAGAGTATAAACGCAATTTTCGGTAATTTATGGTTTATCAATATTTCAAATGTCATTTGATACCCTTGATTGTAAGTTAGGATTAAAAGACTCACTGGTGAAATAATTTTCCCCCTTTTTTAGGCGAAGATGGCAACAATGGCAATAATGGCAACAATGGCGATGCAGGCGCGAAGGGAGTGACTGGTGATCAGGGAAATACTGGCGACACTGGCCCCCCAGGAGCAGATCAAGCAAATGGTCCGCCGGGAGCGAAGGGTGCGGCAGGTGCGCGTGGAGCCGATGGTGCATCAGGACCTACGGGTGCGCCCGGTCCCAAAGGTGACCCAGGCCCACGAGGACAAAAGGGCGATCGTGGCGCAACGGGTGACGCAGGCGCCACTGGACAAACTGGTCAAGATGGTTCCGACGGTGATCCAGGTGATAATGGTAGCCGAGGACCACGGGGTCCAACTGGACCACCTGGACTCCAGGGTTTCAAGGGTACACGTGGTAGCGATGGAGCTGATGGCTTCCCTGGACCCAGAGGTAAGAGAAATAGAACTAGTCAGTAGTCGTGAGGGGGGGGGGTGCCAGAGTTGTAGACTCGAGTCGTGTGACTTGGACTCGAGTCGCAATTTTTGTGACTTGACTTGTTAAAGAGATTGATGACTTGTGACTTGACTTGGACAAAATGACTTGTGACTTGACTTGGACTTGCAAGAAATGACTTGTTACCAACGCAAGTCAAACGTAAATATCTAGTGAAAATCAAGTTTTCCAAAATCTTTGTGTTGATCGATCGATCGTCGTGTTGTACAATTTGGGCAACGACCTTAGTACATATCAATGGCATCGACAGAATTTGTGCCGGCGTATTTTCTGACAAAGCGTTTTTTTCGCGATTTCGTGGTAAAATTTCTGACATAAAATAACGACGCCATATTTACATATTTTGCCGTTTTGCGTGGGAAAACATGGCGCGCCACATGTGGCGATAAAATGAATTGTGACTTGAATTGACTTGCCATTCGGAATGACTTGTGACTTGACTTGGATTTAGACAAAATAACTTGTGACTTGACTTGAACTCAGACAAAATTACTTGTGACTTGACTTGGACTTGCAACATAGGACTCGTTAACAACTCTGAGGGGTGCTCATCGTTCTCATTTGTAGCAATGACGCAGCTCAACCTGGTTGAATTGAGGCCTTTGCAAGGGCGCCTCTGGCAGCCACCTTATGACTCATGTCTGATCACGGGCACAGCTACGGTGGAAGGGTCAGTTAGGGGGCTACCCCCAACCCACCCTGTCCACATTCCCTGAGGGAGGAAACCAGAGTACCCAAAGAAAACCCACGGCTTTCGGTAGAGGAAGGATCGAAACGTCCAAGTTTTGCTTGTATTTTACAGGTCCCTGAATCCCTCTCAATGTTAGCGTAGAAAACCACTCTAACTTGAAATCATTTTAACCCTCAGGTCCCAGAGGCCAAGATGGTGCAAATGGCGACGACGCGAACCAAAACATTGCGTGCATCTATCGTCAATCGGAAACTGGACAACTCACAATGTCATGCAACGACCTCAGTTACACCGCTACCGACTGTGGATGTAGTCGAGGCTGTGGTGAATGGTCGATCTCAAACAATGGTCAAACCTGTTCCTGTAAATGTAATTCTTATGTTCCATCCAATTTCTACTCCGTGGGAATCAATTGTTGCAGACTTCAATAGACAGTACTTACGAAATTACGAACAGATATGTGCATGTTTTATATTAATTGAATATTAATGTTGTAACGAGATTTTTTGTATAATTAAAGTTTGCCGTTTTACGTAGATGTGCTGTTTTGACCTTTTTCCGATATGAAAAATTCTTACCCTTAAATAATTCGATTTCCACCCTGACCCTAGCGTTTCCTTATTATGTCATTTTGAAATCTTGGCAGTCCATTGCATAGATATCTAATATACACTAGATAGTGCATCTAATTATTCTGCAATTCAAAAATTGAAGCTGTGATTGCAGACTCAGGATATTCCCATGAAATGAGAAGACTCGTATGTTTTCTATTTCTTAAACAGGGAACTTAAACATTAAGTTAAACCTATTCCAAATACATTTCCAAACTATTCAAATGATGAAAGTTATTGTTGTTTTTTAAGCGTTTATTAGCGAGTGGGAAACTTCAACATGGCCGCCATCTATTCAAATGGGGGTAACCGCTGGAATATTCTTGGCTTCAATTTTACTAGAACAGATGCGCTATCTAGTGTATATAAGATATCTATGGTCCATTGTGACTTTGAGATCAGTGGGAGGTTCACCCGCTGACCAGCCACGAATCATAGTAACGCGCCCGCGATAATTGTAAGAGTTTTTAATCCGCTAGTTTTCCTTTGCCCGGGTATAAATAGCCGACCGGAATTAGTACCCTCGCCACGAGATTATTGATTACGTCCCATGCCCTCGGCAGGTGGCTCAATGGAACAATGACTTCTCCGCCAAAACAATTAACCAAACTTGCAGGAATATTGTTTTCTAACTAAAATTTACAGATGTTTTTATAGTCATGCTGACAATTCCTGCTGTTCAATGTGAAAAACTAATATCGATTAATATTAGAAATTGAGCTTCGCTGTTTTTATAATAAACGTCCCCTAGTAGACTTATTCTCCAATAGAAACTTCCCGAATTTTCTTCACTGCACATGAAACAATAAACTCGGGGCTGACAATGTGACCTTGAGTGACGTGGCCCGTTTGCATTTATTACACGTCGAGGCTACGTTTACACTATGGTGAATAGCTTTCCGTAGCGACGTGAAAAAACACCTATACGTACCTTTTATGAACGCTATTTTCAGAGGAATTATTGCAACGGAGAGATGTTATTTCGCCCAGCTTCTGAATCTTGTACATTCCGTATCGGATAGGTGCTTTTTCGCGCCACTACGGAAAGCTATCCGATATAGTGGAAACCTAGCCAAACGCCTGTATTCTAAAAGCTCACTCACACTCAAAGAGTGGAGGTTCAATCTGAGCTTCTCTCGAGTGTCAGTGCTGTTTTTGAATAGCTGAAGGGTGAGTAGTCACATAGTAAGGAACGACACTAACCCTACAGCTATTCAAGAATAGCACTGACACTCAAAGGAAGCTCAGATTGAGCCTCCACTCACTGAGTGTGAGTGAGCTTTTAGAATACAAACGAAAGTCTCAAATATTTCAAGTGAGTGGATGGAATGAATGGAAAACAGCGAGATTTTGAAAACACTGAAAAGACCACAGAAGATCATGGCTTGATGGGACCATTCGTACGCGATAAATGATACAACTGAAAAGTGTCTACATCGACTCGATTGCAACTGTTTAGATTTGCCGATATATTTGGTTACTTAGCAAGGGTAGTAACAGGATATCATATATGTGCTTTATGGTAACCTACTTATAGAGAAACGTCCCAGCTTTTATTGCGTGATTTCGCTACTATAACTTCCCAATGAAGGGCCTTCGCTCGAAACGTTGAAGTTCTCCTTGTATTTTCAGGGAGTTGTATCTCTATCCATCCGAAACTTTCTTATTATTGCCACTACCTACACTGAAACGCCTGCGTTGTCGCAGATGAGTTGTGTGCTTCATCTACGCAGTCAACTCAAGTTGTAAGCAGGTTGCATGCCACAGTTCTAGGCAAAAGCGGTTGTGTAATGTGAATTGGCCTTGAGGATGGTTGTGAACTAGAGGCAATGAGTGGGTCTAATACATAGATATCTTATATACACTAGATAGTGCATCTAATTATTCTGCAATTCAAAAATTCAAGCTGTGATTGCAAACTCAGGTCGTTCCCATGAAATGAGAAGATTCGTATGTTTTCTATTTCTTAAACAGGGAACTTAAACATTAAGTTAACCCTATTCCAAATACTTTTTAAACCATTCAAATGATGAAAGTTATTGTTGTTTTTAAGCGTTTATTAGCAAGTGGGAACGACCAACATGGCCGCCATCTATTCAAATGGGGGTAACCGCTGGAATATTCTTGGCTTCAATTTTACTAAAAGAGATGCGCTATCTAGTGTATATAAGATATCTATATGTTCTAATAGAGACATATTAACTTCGCCTTACGCGTCACCACTACGCAACAGGTACCAATTACTGTGGCCTTGAAAATTATATGAATAATAAATGGCATTCAATATCTGATATAATTATAGAAGTGACTTTTCAATACGTGTTCCAGTATTTGCTCTGACGCTGATTTTCCACAGCCTTATACGTGAAAACGAAAGACAACTTAATTGCTGCAACGTTTAGAAGATTCTTGCAGACATGAACACACTTCAAGTAAGGAGTGGTTGCAATATATACTTTCTATATATATAATTGCGGTCGTCAATATTTGCTCGGAGCCTATAGCCTACTGAACGAACGCTAAACGGAAAACAAAAGTTCTGATTTTCAACTCTATTTCAGGGCAAAGTGCTGAAGGACATGACTTGTTGTGGTAGATTGTGGTTGGAATCAAGAGACAGTGAGTGGTATCAATATACGATTTCTATATATAATTTCTCATATTTGCTTTGAGGTTATAGAACGACCTTATAAGCTTAAAACACACGCCAGCCCTGACAACAACCTATATATCGTTTGAATCTCGTTATACGGCAACCAAGGTATATAATTAATATAATATCACACATAATTTCACTTGGTTTAAGTAAATGAATGTAATTCCCGAAGACTCAACGTTTCCACCCTCCAGTTTAAGTAGTTTAGTGCACGGCTGAGCCACGTGCATGGCAATTTTAGATAATGATGAATAAAATAGAGTCTGTCACTTTCCCGTGCTTTGAATTCCTCAGATTCTGAGCAAAAATTCCTTAGATTTAGTAAAATTTCCTTGGGATATGTATTCTTATATCAACGTTTATTTGAAAACGGACCAAAGTGTGTCTGCAGATTATTATGCAATTGCAAAAAAATCCACTGTATGCTGCCTGCCGTCAGAAGAATTTTATAAATTTTTCCCTGAATAAATTTTTCAAGTCTGGAATGCCTTGCCAATGCCGCATTTCTTGCATTTTTGAGAGGAGTTCTTGGGCAACAATGCTAAATTTACTTGACCTTTGAGTATTTGAGTATTATTTCAGAATTTTCAAATGGTATATCAAGTCTTAAATTTCTTTAAACTCCTTTAAAATGCAACTTTCCTTAAAAATATCCTTAAAGAGGTCCAGATTTCCTCAGTTTTATTATGGAAATTTCCTAAAAAGTGAGAACGCTGGTTCTGCGATTGCATACATATTACATGTCTGACCAGGGGGCGCCGCAGCGGCGGACGGGACGCCCCACGTTTTAGAAAACTCATCGGTAAAACGCGGAGATTATGTACTAGGAAACAACGAAACATGTCGGTAACTATTGAATTGGAAATGGTCTGTAAATTGGTCGGTAAAATTGAGTTGGTCAGTAAAGCGAAGAGGCTGAATACAGGAACACGCTCCCCGGTCGGAATGGTCTCGGTACGCCCGACTATGGGTGATATTAAAAAAAAAAGAAAAAAGACACTAGACTAGACGTTAGGACTTTAGACTAGACCCGACAAAGGATGTCGAAACTTTGGGTCGTGATGCAATTTCGAATGGCATTGTATTCATTTAAACCAGAGTAGCGACTTGTGTCGACCCACTCGACAGTTCAAATACACACTTCTATATGGCAACTGTCCGCCTCGATTTCAAGCTCTATATTGTGTGCACTGAAGCACACTCGGGATGTGTCTGTTGGTTGTTAATTTTTACTGCAATGAAGGCTACAGCGCCAGGCCATGTTATCTAAAAGTGCGCAGAGAAATTCGAGCATGGATAAAATTTTCTTCAATAAATTTTTTTTCGATATCGTTTTCGATTTCATTTATTTTTGATATATGCTGAAAAATTTTTGCAGTACAATATTAGTGTGCAAAATTTTAACACAGGTCACCACACGAAATAATGAGATATAACGCGTTTTTGAAAAATTGCCATTGCTAATATGACGTCAGCAATTGACATGCAATGCGTAAAACACGTACAATGGCGCGAGATACCGTGAACACGTCAAGGTCATATATGCGTAAGTCCTTTCATTCCTGGGGACACGAATGGTCACGCGATTTGTTCATATAGTATAACGTTTTGTTTTCGGGATTCTTGCATAAGAGATTTTGTGTGGGTTGTTTGGATATTAATTATACCGAATTCTCGTCTCTGTTCGTAGGTTAGCCTATATCCTGGGGAGACACTGTTATCATATGAAAATCATGAATGCACATCGAGCTGTGAAGAGGATTCAGTAAGCGGATATTGTAACATACTTCCGACTACATATACGTCTGATAAGTGGAAATATAGCGAGGGCGGGATTGCTTGTGAAGATTACGCATAAAAATTAAAGCCCTCTTCAAATTTTGGCGCATTTTGGTGCGAGCTCTCAAAGCATTAACATATGGCGAAGGTGAGCATGGCTGCAACAATGAGTTCAGTTTGGGAGAACGGCAGCGAATCTCTTGTTGAATTGTGTCAAAATGGTGTGTATTACTTAAACAAGGCTCCAACTGGGATCTACTATTATAACTATATGGCAAACATCGTTTTATCTGCCATTGCGACTGCAGTTGGATGTGTAGCGAATCTCTTAGTGATCATAGCTTACTTCAAGACATTTCGTCGGCACGAATTCAACACAACGCTTCTCGCATATCTTGCCACGGCAGATTTATTGATAACAGTGTTGGTTCAACCGTTAATGATCAGCCGTCTGACGCTCGAACTATTTGATCAACATTACTGCTTGTACTGGTTGGTTATAAGACGACTCTTTGAATTCAGTGTGCCGGTCTCGTTCCTCTCCGTCGGCCTCATAACCTACGAACGCTACCAAGCGTTATTCTGCCCCGTCAAGTATCGTACGAGCTCGTTGAGACGACGTATTAAAATAACAATGATTATAATTTGGCTGTTTGCGCTCGTTACGACGTGTTTACGATTTTTCCACTTTTTTGTGGTGATCTACTATTTCATGGCCTTATTCATAATAATCGCGTTAGTGGCTGCAAACACTGTAATCTACGTCAAAATCGGGAAAATGGCTTCGGTGTATACAAAGGATCGGCGCGCAACCGCGCAGAAAATGTGCGATACTCGTAGCTCAAGAAAAATCCTCGCAAAAGACAAGCGAAGCACACGAACGCTTTTCTATATCTTTTTGAGTCTGGTCATATGTTATCTACCCATGCTGGGGGCAATATTATACTCGGTTATCAACGGTCAATCGCATTCAATGCAGTTTCTGTTTGGGTACCTCCCATGGGCTGATGCGTTCGCGTTCTTAAATTCCACTCTGGACCCCTTCATCTATTGTTTGCGCAACCCAAAACTGAAGAACGCCGTGCTTGCCTTCGTGTGCCGTCGTGGTTATAGAAAACGCGATTCGTGTAACGAAGTTGGCGCGAGAAATTCATTGATGTTGCAGAATAGCAGCTCCGATAAAAAGTGTCCCAACGATTCAAGAAATTCATGAACTCTCTCCCATCAAATAACTTAGGGGCTGTTCATATGAGTCGGGCCAGGGTCACCGGCTACCCGGGATGAAGCGTGTCATGAATTTTTTTTCACAACCATAAAAGATCTTTTGAACAACTTTATACCGTCATTGGAATCAAACTAAACTAATTCAAAACTTTGAAATGTCATTTTGAAGTGTTTATGAAAGCTGTGATAAGACCTTTATTACACGAATCCTCCCCGTTAATCGGGCCAGCCGGCTCCATATGTGAACAACCCCCGTTACTCCTGGAAGAAAAAGCTTGGTGATTCAAGGAACTCACAAAAATGCTGTCAACAACTTAGATCTATATTAAGAAGAGCTGTCGTCATTCGTGACTCAGCTTTTGTCAACAACTTGGGAACTTCTACGTTGAGAAAAGCTGAGAAATGTCTTTATAGTAAATGCCTGCGAGGCATAAACAAAGGGGAACAGGCAATTATATAATGCCATGTGGTAATAAGTACGCCGGTTTATTGTTTTATTGTAAATACATACTTAAACGTTAAAGCCTCTTACATCACATAAGTTACCTTGACCTTATACGTGTGAGGTACAGCAAGAAAACAACAACAAGTTTGAATTCTTGACAACTTTTAATTGCCTTTGCCAAAATTGACGTATTTCTAATACGGTGAACGCGTGCAGTTTGAGACAAAGAAGTTTTGATATACAACAAAATTTGCTTTGTTCAAAATTTGGCATGACGAACCTACTTGTCAAGCAATTGTGCAGACTTGTAATTTTTGCTGTAGGCTCACAGTCAAGAAAATGTTTTAAAATCGATAATATAATCTTTAAACTATAAACAAAGCTTTTAGGTGGACTTATATTTTGTAGCAGCTAGCTTTTTTACGATAAACAATGCCTTCTTACGATAAGAAAAAAATCGCAGACAGTATATATAAATATTTGAACATATATACTTGACTTAAGTAGTTTTCTAGTACAGTACTGAATTGCATAAATAAATGTAAATATGGCTTGAATATTATCAGTTTGAAAGTTCCAGTGCCATACGGTCGAGGAAGATCATTTTCCCATGATCTCAATATATGATGCACACTCCAAAAGTTACAAACTGAAAAAAGTAGACAAAAAAGACTCTTTAGCGGTGCGGTTATCTTTTCGTAAACATGTCAATCAACGAAACGTGTCCTCAGACTTTGGCCATCTGGCATGCAAAGAGTGACGTGATTCGTTGGTTCCACTGAGAACTATATAGCGTGCAGCAGATGATGTGGTTAGCCAGCAGTTATCAGAAAATCTGCATGTTAATTCCTGTCTTCATGTTCCTAAAGCCTAGTTTACACTATCAAACTTTTCACAGTAGGAATTTTGCATCGGTGATGAAGAAGAATTTGTAGGAAATGTTTGAGGAACCGTGTTAAGTTCCTCAAACATTTCTTACAAATCCTTCAAAATTTACCGATGCAAAATTCCTAAGTGTGTTCACAGAAACTTTGATAGTGTAAACCCCGCTGATGAGCATGCATAAGAAAAAGAACTACGCTCCTTTAATCTCACTTTCAAACGTTTTCTGAAAATTTCCGACCACATGCATGAATCTGCTATCCTGACACGAAAATTACGAAACTCTTTGCTTGAACCTAAAGCATCACCATGACTTTTAGAAGTGTATAATTATAATCTATACAGGTACTTGAAACAAAGATCGTTACTAATATACAATATATATATAAAGTTTTTGATGTAAACCCATAGTTTTTCATTTCATAGCAAAGGTGTTTATTAGTTAAGTTTGTAAAAATTGAAGAAAAAGTATTTCATTAAAGATCAGACGTGTTTGTGTATTATCTGTTAATAATCCTCATTTCCTTCCTATCTCCTATGTTCCGTTGTATCATGTATGAAGTTGGTAATCAATACAGATTATATATTGTAACAAAATCCAACGGTCAAATCCGTTGCGTGACTATAGCCCACAAAACTTTCCAAATTTCTGAAGAATGGCATTTACTCAAAATGTTGGCCGTTAAACTGTTCAAGAACGTTTTCACGAGCACTTAGACAAAAATTTATCAACAACACGCAACAAACCGATGCATTCGTTGTTTGAATTTTTTTCCTCAGACTTATTATAGTCTTTGTCACTTTGACTTTGACTTTGACTAGTGTCTGTATTCGGTGATTAATGTGGAACTGCACGAGTGTTTCCCGTTCTTGAAAAAGGTTTGAGTCTCCGGACGTAATATTGTACACGTTTGTGCTTTCCAAGTGATCACATAAGATTCAACATCTTGTCCTTTCCCGTTACCTCCCCTAAGCGAGTGAGCGTCATGACCAATTTATAGACCAATTTATAGACCATGTGCATGGCATATAGTTTAGCCAGCGGAATCTATCACAAAGAAGGTGTATTTCAAGACCACTCCCTATATGCACTGCGAACAAACCGTTGGAAGATCATTAGACTAGTGAGAATCTACCACAAAGGACGTGTATTTCAAGACCACTAACTACACTGAGAACCAACAGTTTGAAGTTTAAACTAGTGAGAATCTACCACAAAGGACGTTTCAAGACCACTACCTACACTGAGAACCAACAGTTTGAAGTTTAGACTAGTGAGAATCTACTACAAAGGGCGTGCATTTTCAAGACCACTACCTACACTGAGACTGACCAACAGTTTGAAGTTTAGACTAGTGAGAATCTACCATGCATAAAGGACGTGTATTTCAAGACCACTACCTACACTGAGAACCAACAGTTTGAAGTTTAGACTAGTGAGAATCTACAACAAAGGACGTGTATTTCAAGACTACTACCTACACTGAGGAACAACAGTTTGAAGTTTACACTTTAGGGTATAGAATTTACCACAAAGAACGCGTACAATTCAACACAATTACCCACGCTGAGAACCAAGTGTTTGTTTAGACTAGTAACAGCACATATACTTGAAAACCACTCACTATGCTAAGAACAAGTCATTTGAATTGTATGCTAGTGACAATCTACCACAAAGGATGTGTATTCGAAACCATTACCAACGCTGAGAACCACGTGTAACATGTGATGTACTCGAGAACACTCACTTTGCTAAGAACCTGTCGTTTAAATTATACGCTAGAATCTACCTGCACAAAAGGCGTGTATTTCATTCCAAGACTACTATACCCACACCGAGAACTAACAGTTTGAATTTTTACCCTAACCCTAACCCACCTGACCGCGTAGCTCAGTTGGCAGAGCATTGGGCTAACATTCCAAAGGTCGTAGGTTCGATTCCCACCGTGGACAGGCATATTTTTTCAAACTTGCCCGGTGTGGATATACACTCAGAGTAACATCACAAGCATAACAGTTTGAAGTTTAAACTATTGTGAGAGTCTGCCGCAAAGGCATTACCTACGTTTTAATCCTTATTGGACAGACAGACTCTTTCAGAGAATCAGAACATTTCTGAACAACTGCCAAAAAGTACTGCATGAAACTATTAAAAACATACTCATGTGCGGGCCGCAAGGAAATGGCCGTTAACCACAAGTAAATTAAAATGGTACTATAACTCAACGCAGTCTTAAGTCGACAGTCGTATTCCGTGTGAAAATGATCACAGGAATTTCGTAAGCTGATTGAGATATTTACTTATTTAATGAGGTACTAATCGATATACTAACTCCTTCCTGAAAGATTACGCAAGCTTTCTAGTATCTTAATTTTTAAAGCAAATACAACCACGACCGACCCCACAGGGTGCCACTTGATCTTACTGCTGTACGATGGTAGCGGTCTATCAGATAAAATCCTTGTAATCTTTTATATTCTTAAAGTACATGCATACGAGATATTCATATGGAAACAAAAACAAACAAGCTATATACACCAAACTGACTGTAGTCCTTCAACTGTTCCCCCTAGAGGTCTAATAAGGGTTATCTCTAAATGTTACTGCATAGAGGAAACCTAAACTAAAATACTTTATTTTACAAGACAGCTTGACCAGTTCTTAGCGGTCCAATAAGGGCCATCTCTTGTGGCTGTATTGGTCCACATTTACTACAAGAGGAAACAGGAATACCGGTGGAAAAACTTGCGTTGTTTGGTCAAATTCTGGAAGCAGGCACTCTGCTTCATCTTCACACGCAACTGAAGTGAAATTATAATCATGAGAATATCATACTGCATGGGGTCGGTTGTTCAAAGGTGGGTTAGCACTAACCCTAGGTTAAAATTTAACCTGCTGTTGTAGTTTGTGTATTTCTACACTTCTGTGTATTTCAAAACGTCAGAGAAGTGAACTGCTATCGATCCAGACAAGATCTCTGAAGAAATATCTCCAAATTTATAGACAAGCTGTCAGAAAGTTTGCTTCGAATTTCAGGTTAACCCATGGTTAAACTAACCCAGCTTTGAACAACTGGTCCCTGGAGGTTAAAAAACTAGGTACAGTGTAACTACAAGAGAAAACCGGAGAAACTTAAGAAACAACATGTGCGGTGTTTGGTGAAGTTAAACTGGAAGCATTCTTCACTGTAAATGTCAAGACAACTCCAAAAGAGTAATTCTGTCAACGCTTTTGGTGACAAAACAACACATTTTTGGAGTTATTTTAACTCCTATTGTGTCTAGTATTCTCACATGAGATTGAGTATTGCGAGAATCGCGCAATACAGAAGTCGAATTAAGGCCCGAGATGAAAGGTTATCACTGGTACCAGGAACCATATTTTGATATCATTGAGTAGAAGCAACGCGTGTCAGCTAGCCAGAATTCCGGGTGATTCTCAAGTGAAGTGTACTTAATGAAATATACCTTGTCCAAGTGGCTAGCCTCAATAAGCTCCATATCAACAAACAATTATGTATTGTTTTGATTTGTGATTTTGTCACTATAGTCAACCAAGAGCCGAGAGGCTTCATCGCATATTGAAGATTAGTCGCGTATGATTATTTAAGAAGAAATAAGGAGCTATCTTAAGTAAACAGCAATGATTTCAGCCAAATAAGCTACTTAATATATAGGATTATTATTTCATGTTATAGTCGCATGCGAGAAGTGGTTTCTATAGCCAAGACTCTTCAGTACTAAATGACCGGTTACTCCTGTAGTAACACTGGATGAACAAAGGATGGGCTTTATTAATGGATATATTGGAGTAGATAGGTTTAAATTCAAGTGACGATATATATCACACACTTTTTATATCTAATCAGGAACGGTTGGGAAGACACTGACACTATACGTCCTCTGTGGCAGGAATCGTACTTGCAATTCCTGCACCCGTCTGGGAAGAACTACAGGGTGTATCAAAAAAAGCGCAATCCTCGACTGAAATGTAAATTGCTAAACAAATAATAAACGAAAACGTTAAAGTTTACATTCATTTTAAAGCGTAGCCATTCAGCTTTCTAACAGTGGGTTGTTTCTTAAATTTGACTCATTGGTTCGCGGCTAATAATACTTTACGTTATTGCGATTGGAGATTAAAAAAATTGAGATGGAATAACAAATCGTTCTCATGCAAATAACCGCTGATTTTTTCATTAAAACAAAAAAATATTGCATTTTATTAAATGGATTGTAACAATAAGTATAATTACGGCTTTTCTTCCACTATTTTTAACTCAGTTTGAAACTTCAAATGCGATATAATTTCGGCTTGGACCATCTAAGCTGACTGACATCAACTTGCTATAATTTCTGTTTACATTACATCGCAATTCGATGACACTCTGGCTCAGACACCAGAATGTTTTGACGATTTTTAGCATTCGTTTAGGATTTTCAAACAACCTGGTCTCTTTTAAAATACTTTTAATTTGTTCTTACGTGGTTTTCCAGATGTAGTGACGACAACATTAAAGTTTAAAGAAGAAAATTCTAACATTTAAACCGATTAAACAATAACATAGTAAACTTGCATAATTAAACAGCAACTAAAAATGATAGGTTTACTAAATCTTTTCCTGTGCAATTATTACTAGCATTGGAGACAAGGATAATAATTTGTTTGAAAGAGAAAAGAACAGGCTTTGAAGTAAGCCTAAAAGCGTTTAACTAGAAATAGTATTTCGAAAGTTATTAAGCACAAAAGATGAATTGCGTTTATCTTGATACACCCTGTATATAGATAAGGTTAGTTTTTAGTTTAGGTTTCCTTTTGAAGAAACGCTGAACCAAAAAGAAATGGACCTTACTGAACCTCTATATTTCTATATCAATTTATTATGAATATTTACTTAAATATTGATCAAACTACTGCAACTAATTAACAAGTAAAATCTTAATTTCTAGTTCAATATTAAACAACTAGGAAACTTTGTTTTACTTTCGTATTTCGAAATCGTTGCGAAATATTATCAAAGTCAAACCGACTTGTCCTATATATATATATATATATATATTTGTTTTCGTCGCGCGAAAACTGAAGTGGAACGAGCATGTTTGCCATGTTTAGTCTATATTTAGGAGTAAGAGACGATTTTTTTAAATTTAGCGCTACTTTTGATGTTTTTCCAACACTTAAGTGTTGTTTTCACCGATGCGAGAGATGCATAAAGACCTTTTACATAAAATTTAAATATCCTATCACGAAATCACACCGATTGACATTCCGACAAACCAAAGTCCTAGGTTTGAGATATCATATACCATAACAACCATAACAGGAATTATGCATGTATTATTACGAGTATGGGTGCATGACTTTTCATATAAATGTCCCAAAACCATTGTATTTCCTCACAAAAATTTAGGAAAATTTCATTGTTAGCTAATTAGGGTTATGAGGTGTGAATAGTTAGGCATTGTTATACTTATTACAGGTAATTTTTTTTAAAAATTTGCCGCTACCAAGTTAATAATCCACTCAAGTGCAATCGGCTTCCGCATACATACTCTATGTTAAGACCCGTTTACAAGTGTAATTTTTGCTCCCATTCAGGGTCTTAGCTAGGATCTTAGATCTTGGGCGTGTTTCTAATGACCAGGGCGTGCACATGTCAATTACCTTGAATAGCAAAATCACGGTTCTAGTTATGCTCGCCAACAACATGTTGTTCTATGCTTTGCAACCAGTTATTTCAGCAACTCCTGGGGTATTTAAAACCATTTTAACACCATACAGTTCCCATTATCGATCAAAACATTAAACTCATCACAGATCACTTTTTCCAATTTCAACAACAACAGTAGATTTTACAAACTTTCTTACGACGTAAATAGGAAGAAATTCTGTCTGTTGTAAGTAGCAAGACCTTATTTTATGAACCTACACGGCCTTATATAAATAATGAAGCCGCGTTCATTTTATCTAGCCGTGTTTTTCCACTTTTGGCCGCGATAACACGGCCAACACGGCCCTCTAGCTAAGACCCTGCTGCCATTCTGGTGCGATTATCTTCTTCTGAAGGATGTGAACGAGTACATGAGTTATGAATGTTGTGAGTATACACAGTATGTTCTGAACATTCATAAGTCATCCACATGCAGAAGAAGGAAATCGCACCTATAATCGAAGCAAATATTGCAAGTGTAAACAGGCTTGTTTGTTGCCTTAACCAAGCCCGCGAGCGCCTGCTTTGCGGGCTAAACAATAATAACTGCGTGGTGCCTGTATTTTCCCGCGCCCTTTATAACTCCCAATAAATTCACATGATAGTTTTGTTTGTGGAAACACCACGTAAATTTATTACAGCAAATTTTTATCATATATTATTAGCACTGATGAAGATCCGGGCTTACTTATCGCCATGCAAACATACAAAGAACTTAAATTCACATAATTTTTCACATGTGAAATCTTATGTTGAATTGGAACATTGAACATGTGACAATGGTCATTTCGCATCTGAAATGTAGAATTTTTTTACGTTTCATATAATTTTTTATATGTGAAATTATGTGTAAAAATTAATCTCACATGTGAAATTATTACTTCTTACTGTGGTACTGGAACACTTTACACGTGAAAATGGATTTATTTCATACGTGAACTTTTCGCAAAGGAAATCAAACCCCTTTCCGAGGTAAACTTAGAGTAATTCGACCTGCATGACAGCAACTGTTCCAACAAAATACGTTTTTATATTCCAATGATGATAAACTACAGGACGAACGTCAAAGATTGAACTATATTTCCCTGCCATCATTTAGACTTGAAGGAAGGAAAGCAATTTATTTATCTACCAAATTATCCTGCACATATACAACCCACGTTCCGCATTTTGGCGCCAAGATAATTAACCAAGCATGAGAATGTGGGGGCGTTTGAGGGGGGTGTTGAGGCATTTGTGCTGGCTTGTTTTGGTCGAACCATTCAACATAACCCAAGGTTTACATTCTCTTATTGACAAATGCATGAAGAAAGTTTCGGGCTTTAGGCAATGAGATTTTATACTAGTTTTATAATTGGAAAATAACATACTTAAATTTCATGCAATATATAGACCTTAATTTGCAGCCTATCAATGTTTTCATAGTTGAAAAATTATTGCTACAGCTTTGTTACATAGCTATCCAGCCATTCAAAGACCTTGTCACAGAATAAAGACACACAGAAGGTCGACTCAGCCAAAAAAATGCTGACACCATGGTCCTTAGCCAGTGCGCTTATGTAAAGCATTCACCCCCTGGACGTCTGGGGGTGAATGCCTCTCATAATTAAATGCACTGGCTAGGATCATGGCGTCAGCATTTTGATGACGAATTACGGTTATGCCAAAATCATAGGAAAAACCAAGAACACGGGCTTCTGTTTGTCTCTATTCTGTGGCCTCGTTCTTCACAAACTAGAATTAGTTACACGACTACAAAGGCCATACTATGAATAAAGAAACATATTAGTTCAGCTTTCAATAACGAACACCCGCTCGAGTATATAATTAGTCATAGGAATAGACTTTTAATGAAAAATCTGACACGTTTTATCACATATTGAAGAACAGATACAGCTGTTTACATAGCAAGTAATTGCCTTCGTGCAAACTTCAGAAATATTAGCAAATTTTGGAGAACAATACACTAAATAGGAAAATGTCGAACATATCTAAAACTAAATTAATGCTGGATGTGAGCAAGCCAGTCAGTAGACTAAAACATAGCAAGGGTTGCAAGAATTGCCTGATGGACGTAATCAGGCAATGAATATGTATTCATATGCATGCTCGTTAATTGCCATCCAATTCAATCATATTTTTTTTAAATGCTTAGTCACCTTTATGCCACACTGCAAAACAGATTGGCTAAAACAACCAATCTGTTTCAACCAATCTGTTTTTACAGTGCATTGTATGCTTATATCACAGAATACTACACAGAAAGCCATCTCCATTGTTTTTTTCGCTTATTCGTCATGATTCGTCACTCAGCAAGTACCGTAAACAGAAGCAGTCAAAATGTCCAGGGGGGGACTGCTTCTGTATAGTATTCTGTGCTTATATCATCAGAACAATCTGTGCATTGTATAACTAGGCATGTGACTTATCCCAAAAATTAAATTGCATTAACATACTCTTCCTGCATGAGTTTATTGGCTGTCAATGAAAGCTACTTATTTATACAATGGATCACAATGTCCACCTCGATTTCAAGCTATTGTGTCGTGTGCACTAAAGCAACTTCGGAAAGTGCATAAATTGCATTATCAAATTGCTATCGGCTTAGCTAAAGTTAAGCCTTAACCCAGATCAAAATTTATGAAATTTACATAAATCTGACTTTGTCACAACAAGCAGTTACACATTAATTAATCCTCAACTATTTCACGGGACAATTTAGAAACAGCTATAGGCGTGTTCCCAGATCAAAATTTTATGAAATTTACATCAATTTGAGCTTGTCACAAGTCTCACAACAAGCAGTTACATTAATTAATCCTCAATTATTTCATGGGACAATTGAGGAACAGCTATATAGGCGTCTATCCCAGGTCAAAGTTTTGTAAAATTCACGTAAATTCGTAAGAAGTATTTTCTATTTTTGAAGGTAAATGAATTCTTCAACGAATGTCGTGAATACAAAATCCTGTCACAACATACAATTATATTAATTAGTTCACAAACCATATCACGCGCGACAGCAAATTTTGCCTCATCACATTAGAGTATAAAAGAGATGTCAGCCGGTCGTCTGCAGGTGTGAATTAAACAAAAAACTCTAATCTGCTTGTAAATATCAAACTAATTCCATGTGAGCGCAAAATAAACACAAATGCAGTAATCAGCTAAAAATTGAGGAGAAGAACTTAAAATAGAGTCCACACATAAGTGTTTGTCTTCGCAGAGCAAGATGTCCCAACAGCAATCATTCAGATAAAATGTAGAACTGAACTACGCCAATTGTGTACTCTTGAACGGAATTACAGCGCACTCTAATGCTGTAATGATGAGAATTTGATGGAATATAATACGTACGTGTAATATATGGGAATAATACACGAAATTGGCTTAAGAGGACTAATTCCACAGTTTATAAGCGGAAAAGATAAAGTTTTGTTGTTTTAACAAGAGCTGGAAAGTGGATCTATTTGAGGACACTTCAGACAAAGTGAATTCTTTGGAAGTACATAGCAAAAAACTTTGGTTTATCAAACAATTTCGGGTACCAGATTGTTTGCAAGAGAACGTGTACTGGGTATACAGGCTTATTTCGTGAAAACATCGATGACAATTGTGAAAAACTCAACTCGACAAGGATCCCTTTTGAAACAATCTTGTTAAAAGGAATCGAAGGTAACAGCGTATATTGATGAAAAGATAAGTTCTTCCAACAACAAAGCAAGGAGTCACTAATTGAAACAAAGTAAATAATCCCACTATATATACATCGTTTGAAAAAATTAGTTCAAAAACAACAGCTGCCTTGGAAACAATAAAACATTTTTTTTACAGTAACAGTACAAGAAAAAGGAATTGAATGAAAGTTGTATGCTATACGTTGGTATATTAGGATAAATATTGAAAGGATAAATTTTTACAAAAGTTAGGAGTCACTTGAATTGGACAAAGAAAATCATCTTACATTGGCGTTACAAACCAGTTCTCTACAGAATGCAATACAACGACACAAACAAAAGCGACGCCTACTTCACCCGATGCCTAGGGATCTACTATTTACAAGTTCGTCCAACTGGAAACACATTCAGCACATATATATCAGTCATAGTTGCGCTTTCTATATTTTCAGTGCTATCTGCTTTAGGCAATGGTCTTATAATCTATGTTTACATAAAACAGAAGTCGCTACAACGTACGAACACGCTGCTTTTAGTATGCTTGGCATTTCTGGACTTCGTTTCGGCGGTGGTACTAGAGCCTTTATACGTTGTTCGGCTTTTGTCGGAAATTTACGGCTTCCCTTCGTGTGTATATATTCTTATAGTTCGTCGGCTCCTCGAGTATCTTCGGCCAGTGTCGTTCATGACGTTGGCTTTGATAACAATTGAAAGATACTTAGCTTTGTTTAAAGCGATTATTCATCGGAGAATGGCCACGAAACAACGTTTACTTTATGTAGTATTACTGATCTGGTTCGTATGGTTTTTGGTTATTTTGATACGCTCGTTTTTCCAAAGAATAACCTCAGCCTTTTACACTTTCTTCACCTTCGTCGCGTTTTCATTGTTGATGGGGAATCTTGTTATGTATTTTAAGATTGGGAAACTAGCAAGGCTGCATAGCAGACCAACCCGGCTGTCAACTTCTCCGGGGTCTATCATGTCCACTGCTCCGGGGTCATTAACCGTAGGGTACCAAAACGCTAGGTCCAGAAACCCGGGGTCATTAACCGTAGGGTACGAAAACTCCAGGTGTATTGGCTCGGAGTCAAACAACTCTGGAGTTATGTACTCAAAGACGGAGGAAAGCGTGAATTATGTTTTGAATGGAAAAAGACGGAGTTTAACAAATGTTGGAATTCAGCGTTCAGAAAGTGGGGTTAAGTCGACGAAAATTAATGTTCAGCCTACTGTGAAGTCAGATGGATCAACTGAAAGTCACGTGGTGTCAAGAAAAGGTGAAATGTCTAATGTTTCAAAGAAAGAAATTGGTTCTAAGCGTCAGGAGAAAAATGAACAGGCAACAGACTCAGAAATGTTTCAGAATGCAACAAGCATCACAGCAAGTGATAAACGCGTAGCAAATGACAGCGAAAAAAAACTGCATAGTGATAAAAGCAATTCAAACGGGAAACTGCATGTCATAGAGACGAATCTCGAGACACAAAGCACCAAAAACCTACCAGGTAGTCTTGATACAGTTTCAAGCAAGGCGTCAATACGTCAGCACGACAGTAGCGATATGATAGGCGATATCATAACTCATCAAGTTAAAACTGACATCAACAACAATTCCACAAGCACGGATTTAAAACAAGAAAGCTCCGATACCTTTCAAGCTACAAATGTACAACAACTTCAAGGAAATGCACAACACAAAGTTACAGAAGTTAACACCTCACCACAATTTAAAAACACAAGTGATGGTGGCAGCTCTACCAGCCCTAATCCTCAAGCTTCTGACAAAAGTGCTCAACAAGCAACTAGTCACGAAAAGACAATTGTAGCAAAAGATCAACCTTCTAGTAGTCAGTTTAAAAATACCAGTGACCCTCCTACAGCTGTTACCAAAACCAACAAAGACACTCACCAAACAACTGATCGTACAAAACTTACGGTTGAAACAAGAGAGCGGAACGCAACATGGACGGTATTTTATATTGTGGCAATCCTCACCCTCTGTTATTTACCCATTGCTGCATTATTGGTGTACCTTTCGTTTAAACAACAACCAGACGCGACTTTGTTGTTCATTTACGTGCCAATAGCGGATACCATTGCCCTGTTTAATGCGCTCGTCAATCCTTTTATATATTGTTATAAGAACAGAAAAATGCGAGCGGCAGTGAAGAGTGTTTTGCAGAAAATATGGAGTGGTCGATGAATTATTTTATCATTTGATAAACGCTTTATCATTTATATGTAATGGAAAAGACACAAGTGTTTCATTTTCCAGACTTCTCAACATGCATCAGATCTGCAGATATTGACTAAATATTTATTTCTTTTGAATTAAATTTTCTTTACGAATTATTAATGACTTTATGATTTCATGTAAAATATCTGTGGTGCTGAGGATTGTTTACAAATTTGCTGTCCTAGGACCTAAGGGAATAATATGTTATCATAATTATTTATAATTTCCATAAAATTGAGATATACATATACACAATAATATATAAGTTAAGATGAGAAAATGTAGATTTGAAATATATATGCAGTATTGTAATAAAAACTTTAAAAAAAAACTAACGCTAATATGCTCATAAAACTTAATTTTATGAGCATATGTATCTACCTATGAGCATATTTATCGATCTATCACAATTATAATAGTTTTGTTTCTGGAAACACCACGTAAATTTATTACTGCAAATGTAATAAATCACCACCTTATTGTGGTGTTTCCACAAACAAAACTATCATATGTTTTATCGCCATGCAAACATACAAAGGACCTATCACAATTAATTAACAATTCAAACGTGTAGCGTGAATTTTCATCTAACTGTAGTATAGTTTGACATAAGTTATAAAAATAGTTTTTTTCAGACGGTTTCTACTTCGACCTATTTTCCATTTGTTTGAGGTTTAAAAACATATTAATGTACTACTAAAACTACAGTCTGTAGCAGAATAAAAATCAACTAACCTTAAAAATTTATAACTTTTTCTTTTCTTTTTCCATGTTTCTTTTTCTGTTTAGGACTTTCAGTTTCCACATTGTTTTGTGCATCAGCACTGTGATGGGATGAACCTTCGGTTACTGTCAGACTCACTGACTCTGTTGTATTATCTGCAGTTACAAACAACATAATATGTATACATGTACATTTACTGTACCTGGAAGTTTCAGATGAGATACAAGACTACCACATACAATGAAAGGCATTATTTTCTCACTCCTAAAATTTTTATGTGGTAATTATCTATGTGTACATCAGTAGTTTTACCTTTATTCTTTTTCTTCAAAAGTTGTGGACAATCTCGTTTCAAATGTTCAACAGAGCCACAAATCTTACACCCTCCACCTAAATAGTTCAAAACCAATAATAAAGGTTGTTATAATTGTTAAAATTCAAAATCAAAGTTAATATAAAAACACGACTACCTTCTGGATATAATCCTCTTGGATTTTCAGGACACGATCTAGCCAAGTGTCCCATCTCTTGACAAATAAAACATTTTGCAAATGGAAAAGCTCCTGGAATTGAAACAGCATATATAAGAAAATACATATTTTTGAGAGCTCAATAACTGACAGCTAACAAGATGACCAATCTCTTGACATAACATTTTCGCCAAAATACTTCTTCACTTTTAAATATTTAGTTATTTACAATTATAATAGGAGTAATTTTTTGAGCACCTGCGGACTTCTCATCAATATTCGCTTTACATTTCTTGGTTGTATGATCAGAAGATCCACATTTAAAACAACTTCCAATCTTCATATCATTCTTGTTTGGACATTCTGATGCTTGATGTCCACGTTCTCTGCACACGAAACAACACTGAAACACAAAATAATATCTTACTCAGGACAAGGAGAACAAAACCAAGCAACAAGAGGCCAAAACATAAGGAGGTAGGACATATAATAATCACACATAGAGAAGATAGAGAGGGAGAGCAAAAATATGTGAAGTGAGTGGGTGGGGAGGCCTTAGTAGGGAAATAACAATAGCCAAGCAAGGCAGAGGACAGAATTTATGTACGGGGTGGATATGTCCTACCTATATGACATATATGTCCTAGCAAATACACCCAAATTCATCACTTTATCCATATTCAAGTTGCCACACCAAGTTGACGTTTTGAGTGGGTAGATGCGTCAACATATTTATTCTTTGACGTTTTCATGAATTTTACTTTTGGCAAACAAGCCAGCAAGTGAACCAGCAAGCGAAGAAAATTAGGGTACTTTACAGTTTATCGTACCTGTGTACTGCAAGTATTTGATGGGCGTGTATTCTCATGGCGAGTTTTCCAGTTCTTTAATCACATGCTTTGATGGTGTATGTATTCAGTGATTTACTCTGGTACGGTAAAGTGTAATATTTCCGAAAATAAATCTAAATATCTTGCCGTAAGGAATGACATGCTTGACATTTTCAAAGCTTGAATATGATGTGTCCCCCTTACTCTATCAAATGCAATGTTGCAGGGGTATAGCTTGAATAAATTATAAAAAAGTGAATGAATCTGTTCACCTTTTGTTTTTTTCTTCTTAGTCTTCGAGCTTCAATTTGTTTTTGCCTTTTAGGATCTAGGATGGTTGTCTCAGATTTCTCTTGTGTGTGACCTTTCTTATTTTTGGAAAATAATTTCTTCTTTTTAGTTGACAAGTGACCTTCATCCTTTTGAGGCGATGGTTCTGCACTTGGCTTGTCTATACAGTGAACACAGATGTGTTAAAAATTTATCAAAATACTTTGCCAATTTTATTTCAAATTATAAAAAGCAAGCTTACTTGCTGACAAATCATCCCAAGTTGATGCTTCTAAAAACTTTCTTTTCCCAGCTCTTGCAAACCTTGTCATCTTTTTATTCGTTCTAAAAAGCGTTTATTTTTCAACAAATATTTCAGAACTATTTCACGTGGAAGCAATTTTGTGCTTTCAAAGTTACAGTAAATCGTTTCTTACATGAATTTTTACACCGTGAGTTGGATGGTGAATCCGCAGGCTTAGAATCGCACGACGAGATACGACGATATCCGAAGTAGGCCGAGAAGGTTCCGAAGTGTTCCGAAGCTGTTTTAAAACCCATGGCACGGCTTCTCTGGGACTGGCCCACTTCACACCAATTTCAAGTAGAAAATATAGTTTAGTCAGCAATACGTTTTACTGCAATTTTATTGCTATAGTCAAATAAACTTAATACAAAAAAATTTAAATTGATGAGGTTAATTTAAGATACAGGTTACTAAGCTAGTAAGCTTTACCCCTTTGATGAGGTTAATTTAAGATACAGGTTACTAAGCTAGTAAGCATAACCCCCTTTAGGGGATTATGCCATCACATAGTTCATCTTCGACAAAGCACGACATAAAGTTCATAAAAGATTTAATTTTTTTTCTGAAGAATGACATTAAATACAAACACAATTTCATCATTGGCATCGGGGACATCAATTTCATTCAGAGCCAATTGTAGTGATCGTGCCAGATTGATGGGCTGATTGTTTGGACCAAGACCCCATTTCTAGTGGAAGAAATATGCTGAGTTTAACAGGGAGAGCAGTTTAAAACTGATAGAGCTATCCAGTATAAATAACGTTCGTTTAGTTTAGGTTTCCTTCTGTAGTAACACTGGAGCAATAAGATATGATCCTTACTGGACCTCTAGGAAGAACAGTTTAGAACTGATAGGGCTATCCAACATAAATAAAGTTAGCCGGTTTAAGTTTAGGTTTCCTCCTGTAATAACACTGAATCAATAAGAGATGATCCTTACTGGACCTCTAAGGAGAACAGTTTGGAACTGATAGAGCTATCCAGTATAAATAAGGTTTGTTTAGTTTACGTTTCCTCCTGTAATAACACTGGATCAATAAGAGATGATCCTTACTGGACCTCTAGGAAGAACAGTTTGGAACTGATAGAGCTATTCAGTATAAATAAAGTTAGTTTAGTAGAGATGACCCTCCCTGGATCTCCAGAGAGAACACTTACATCTGACAGGTCTAGTTAAAAATACCTTACCTTATAATTTCCAGGACCAAGTGATAAAGTCAAATTTAATCGTTTCTCTGCATTAGGCCGCAATCTGTTTGCAAACGTGAGTAAACAACCAGCACACGCTTGCCTCACATCGTTTTCCAACTTGTTCACCGACTGTTGTGGGTCCCCTGAAATAATTTTCGTCTGTATGGCTGCTTCAATGTCTCTGCTCTTTACTCGATCTATGACTACGTTTGTCTGTCCTGCTTCTGCCCGAACCGCAGGTTGGCTTGCGATAGTAGTTGGAAAGTGACCTGAAACAATGTAAAATAGAATGTTATAGTAGGTACCAGATTTTGAGGGGAGGTGCGCCCTCTCCCAAGATCGTTTTGCACCTCTCCTGAAAAGTCATGCACCAGCCCCTGGGAAAGGTTATACGATAGATCAAAGTGTACATTGGAAAATTTTTTATGTGTTCCTTAAGGTCTACACTTTGCAAAAAAGCTTTTCTGTAAAATCGAAACAGTGCGAGGCATTCATGCAATGTTTTGCAACATATTCTTGCTCGCATGTCAATACCAAAGAGTAAAGATATATACACTTCCTCTGTGTCAATACATTTGAAATTGATTATCACGTGTAGCATCGACTCGGCCAAAAATACCACGCCAGGATTCGTCATCAAAATGCTGACGCCATAGTCCTAGCCAGTGCGCTTGTGAGAGGCATTCCCCACCCCCTGGACGTCCGTCATTTTGATTATTATCAGGGGGGTGAATGCCTCTCATTAGCGCACAGACTAGGACCATGGCGTCACATTTTGATGACAAACTACAGTTACGCCAAAGTCATGGGGAAAAAACAAGAAGTCGGGCTTCTGTTTGTGTCTATTTTGTGATCGTATCGAACGCTCAAATGAAACCCACCTACTTTGTTCATAGAGAAACTAACCTCTGATTGGCTTCACATTTTGTATCACTCTGATTGGTGTAGGAACATCAAGAATGCTTTGACACGTGTCGCTCGTCCAACGAAGAGTAAACTGTTCTTTTGAGTCAGCGGAGATTCCCACAGACATTGCACAGTTTGTGCCCTGGTAAATTGCTTGACGTATTTCTCTGGCCTGACTATCGCTGAATGTCACTGTAATGCCATCTTGAAAATAAAAGTAATGTTTTTAGCTGCCCTTTATTTGTACAGGATAGCTCTATCAGTTCTAAACCGTTCTCCCTAGATGTTCAGCAAGGATCATCTCTTACTGATTCGGTGTTACTACAGGAGGAAACCCAAACTAAACTTACTAGCTTTATTTATACTGGATAGCTCTATCAGTTCTAAACTGTTCTCCCTAGATGTTCAGCAAGGATCATCTCTTACTGATTCGGTGTTACTACAGAAGGAAACCCAAACTAAACTTACTAGCTTTATTTATACTGGATAGCTCTATCAGTTCTAAACTGTTCTCCCTAGATGTTCAGTAAGGATCATCTCTTATTGATTCGGTGTTACTACAGGAGGAAACCCAAACTAATCTTAGCTTTATTTATACTGGATAGCTCTATCAGTTCTCAACTGTTCTCCCTAGAGATTCAGTAAGGATCATTCAAAACTAAACTAACTTTATTTATACTGGATAGCTCTATCAGTTCTAAACTGCTCTCCCGAGGATCATTTCTTATTGATCCAGTGTTAGTACAGAAAGAAACCTAAACTGAACTAACTTTATTTATACTGGATAGCTCCCAAGTTAAGAACCCCGGCAGCATAACTATTGTGTCACCAGCACAACTTGACTGTCCTTAAGATTTGGTTTTATCTGAAAATTTTCACAAACCTTCTATAACTTCAATTCCAAAGCTGGTCCGGGAATTGCAAGCATCTCCAAATGTCAAGACAAGAAGGATCGCACTGAATGCAAGATCTAAATGGAGAGGTAGACATTTAATGACTGAATGCTCTGACAAACGACAGTTCCTATACCCAAGCGAAGCTTAACTTACATTGGTTTCCAGTCTCCACTTGCTCGTTGCTATTTTGCAGGACAACGAAACCTCGCCTGGATGACGCCGTGTTACTAGGAGAGTACACAAAATGACCGCTGGCCTCAGGAACAAGGTCTCCGGCAATGGGAACAGCCACTGGCTTACTTTCGTCCACTAATAAACTATCCAAAATACCGATAATCTGCAAGGTAAATATTATGTTACAACATTATAATAGCTAATTAACCAACAAGCCAGCCAGCCAGCCAAGCCAAGTCAAGTCAAGCCAGCCAGCCAGCCAAGCAAGCCAACCAACCAGCATACAAGCAACAATAAACAGGCAAACAAACAAACAAGATGGTATACTTCAGTCTGATAAGTAAATGGTAACTCCAAAACAACTTTGCTCCCAGATTTTAAAATATGAACGTCAGGAATCAAAGCTTGGGGTATCTTGCGATTCTAGAATAAGAATAAACGTTAGATGTTGAATCAATCTGGTAAAAATGTATGAACAGGCTGTCAACAGAGTGAAAATTATTTTTTAAATTATTTTCATTTTATGCATAGACTTGTATTTGGAGGCAAATAGATAGAATCAATTGACAAGTATGAACAGATCTGAAGTTTAACAAGATCTGTTGTCCTGTATAACGTTCATTAAGACCCAAGCAATAAACATTCATAGGACAATATATACGCACCAAAAACTGATTGAGAGCAAAGAATGTGGAATAAAACAACTCATTTGGTTCGATACTACACACACTTGGTCTGTCTCGTGAACTCAGCGCTGGAGAAGGGAAACCTAGTTTAAAAGTAAAATATATCAGTTATACAGTAGAAATATAGTTAGTTCAATTCAGGTTTGCACTTGTAGTATGTAAAACTAGATCTAAAGGAATGACACACACTGGACCTCTACGGAAAACAGTTTAGAACTGATAGAGTTATGTCTGACAGTTATCCAATAGAAAGTCAGTTTAGATTAGGTATCCTCCTGTAGTGACACTGGATCAATAAAAAATGCATTTACGAGACCTCTAGGGAGAACAGTTCAGACCTGATAGAGCTATCCAGTATAAAGTTAGTTTAGGGTAAAGCTGCTGACACGAGTTGTTGTCATCAACCTTGGATGGTAAGTTAACGGTAGAACTTACATTGTTGTTGTACTCCCAAAGCATTTAGTAATCTGGTTGGAACATATTTTGCACACGGTATCTCAGCTTGCTTGAGTAAAATTCCAAAGAGTAACATCTTTCCAGAGGCATGATGTTGAATCAGCTTTGGCTAAAACGACAGGGGGAAACGGTCAGTGCACACTAAGCAAGGCTGATAGATGTGGTTATCACACTGACTCTCGTCGCTGAGATAAGCTTACTACTATAGGTGGTGTCGGCTAGGGAATGATTATCATGATTCACACTTGGTACTTACAGACTTATCTGACGCTATAAAAAGAAATCCTCCATTATCTTCACTGCCAAGTAAAGGATTGTTGAACGCCAAGAAATTACCATGATCAAATCGTTCACCTACAGCAAGACAATAAAATGAAGTTTATGCGAGACGAAAAGGTGTGGGAAGCAAGGCTGAGATGGATATGGGCAGGTAATGAGAAGAGAAGAAGAAAAGCTGGTCAGGTGGTAGACATTGCAGAGAAGACGAGGGAAGCAAGGCTGAGATGGTATGGACATGTAATAAGAAGAGATGAAGGAGAGCTGGTCAGAGACGTTATGGAATGAAGAGATCTGAAGATGCTGTATATTATTTGGTAGACTTTGCAGAAAAGGTGAGGGAAGCAAGGTTGAGATGAATATGGGCAGGTAATAAGAAGAGATGAAGGAGAGCTGGTCAGAGACATTATGGTGGAATGACGAGATCCGACGATGATGTGGATTGGTAGAAGGTGAGGGAAGCAAGGCTGAGATGGATATGGGCAGGTAATGAGAAGAGATGAAGGAGAGCTGGTCAGAGACATTCAACTCACCTTGATTTAAGATCAAAGAATAGAGAGTGCGAAACACTTTGAGCATTTCATAAGGAAACACATCTTCAATGATTCGTTTTTCAAGTAGAAAAGCAATTTCCATCTGACCACAGCTTGCAAAACCATGACTAGTGAGGAACCATGCCTCGTGCAATGCTTGCTTCACTACAACTGGACAATAGAAAATAATGGCAAAATGTATTAATTATAATCATTAAAAATTCACGAACAAAACTCACAAGAAAATCATGACCGTGAACTTGTATATCTGATAGAAAATCCTATTGATTCACATAAAATTTAAGATTTTTCACCAAATATTATTCATGCCCTTAACGTTATTGAAGAATATCAATAACAGGGAGCTTTAGCAAGCGACATTTTTGTCAGCACGAACGTCAGATTGGGGGACTTGAGAATAAGAACAAATGACAAAAAATTTATAAAGTTTTTTGCTTCCTCACATGAGCGCTGTGGTGCAAAATGGCGCCAAAATGAGTTATACGAATTTTCGGGGACGTTGACAAAAACGTCGCTTGCTTAAGCTCACTAATGTCTATAACGTTATTGATGAATTGGAACTTTATCATGAAGACAAACATAAGCAACCATTCGTCTTCGCTCGTGTACAAATTGTATACGCCAACTCTACCTTGAATCTTCTTGACTGATACAGAAAGATTAACAGCGGCTTGTATCATAGCACCTTCTTCAGCTATAAGTGAAATGTACTGTTGTGAGTTTACTGTAGCGGCTAGAGGTTCTGGCTGTTCACATAATAGAATGTCGGACTAGCAGATCTAAACTGTAAGAGGTCCAGTAAAGGCCTTTGTTACCAGAGGAGGTAAAGGTTTACCTAAACTAACCTTATTTACACTAAAGAGCTCTATCAGTCCTCCCTAGAGGTCCAGCTAAGGGATACAGTATGTTACTAGAGGACGAAACTTTACCTAAACTAACTTTATTTACCAGAGAACTCTTCTTCCTAGAGGTCCAGTAAAGTCATCTCTTATTGATCCAGTGTTACTACAGGAGGAAACCTAAACTAAACTAACTTTATTCATACTGGATAGCTCTATCAGTTCTAAACTGTTCTTCCTAGAGGTCCAGTAAGGATCATCTCTTATTGATCCAGTGTTACTACAGGAGGAAACCTAAAACCACTGTCGCACCGACATCTTGTTTAAATAAACCTTACTTTTCAAAAACTTTATGTAGATTTTGAATCGCTTCTTTGTTCATCCAAGTTCACATCGGGTCATAATCTGGGTCCACGTGATAGTGCGTCCTGCGGCACGAGGCGGATCTCTTCCACGAGTTTTCCTCAATGCAATCAATGATCTTGTGAAAACCCACGACTGGAATCCGATTCAACGATCATCATACGAAGAAAGCTTCCCGACTTGAGATGGTGGATGGCTTCTAAAAACGGTAAGCACATCTGCGCCAAAGAGGAAGCTCAGTGGTGGACATTAAAGCAACCTCGCACCCAGGGCAGGGGGTGTTATTTCATGAATTTTACTGGTAGTGGGGGTGTCAATTGCAGACATTAAAGGAGGAGGGAAATGTTTTTTAATTAATTTTACGGGTGGTGGGGGTGTCAGTATCGGACATTAGGGGGGGGGGGGTTATTTAATTAATTTTACGGGTGGTGGGGGTTTGGTGGAAGTGGGATAGTGGTCCCCTCCTAAAACTCAATCTTTTTCCGCCAAAATGTTAGTAGACTAAAATGCTTGTGTTAATCCCCAACATGCACTAACCACTGATCAAACAAGCCTACCTGGTACAGAAGGCGTAGCATCATTAACAGGATTAAAGTTTCCAAAAGGTGTTGTAGAAGTCTGGTAAGCATCACTAGTTCTCTGTGGAACATTGAAGTTGTTCTCTGGGATATTAACAAGTTCTGATGTCGAGGCGTGACTCGTGTTGTCGTTGGGGATATACATCAAGGAATGGTTGACAACAGGTGCTCGTGCGGGGGTCTGGGAATGACGGCGCGACTTTTCTTCCTGTTTACGTTTCGCCCTGTCAGAATGAGCTGAGGAAGACATGAATACGTGATTAACTTCACTAAGCTTTGATGAACAAACCAGAACATGCACATACGACCAGTGAGCTCCATATATGTCTGGAGTGAGAACCCAAGTCCAAAAAGTGACGCCATGCAAGATGGTGGAAATTCAAGAGCTATTAGATGTCCGTTCCAATCCCTTTCTATTGCTTTTTTGTCTGCGCAGTTGACCCGAAGCTGGCAAGGAGTGCGCGCAAATTCCGCATTTTGAAATCGTTTTAAAGAATAACACTGTGGTTTTATGAACAGCTGATAACCTGGTTGGCGATGCGGTGGAATAAGCCGGGGAAAATGGTATAAAAACTGCTTAAGACCTTCAGAGCTATTGGACGTCAATGTACGCCATCTTGGCTTCATTTTTCTCACAGGCCGAATGGCTGAAGTTCTTACTCCAGAGTCCAGATGTATATAGAGGTCGCTGCATACGACATCCTTTACAGTTCTAACCATAGTGGTACAATAGAGGCAGACCAGCCCTTGGGTTCGACTTGACTATTATCTTAAAGGCACAGTTCAGCCTTTTGAATGATTGTTTTATTAAGCATAATTCAAGATCAGTGAACTGAATGTTTGTAAATTAAAAATGTTTTAAAAAATGTTAAAAACATTGAGATCACTGATCTTGAGTTGTAATGCGCCTTAAAAACCATCATTCAAAATGCTGAACTGTGCCTTTAATTCGTACACTATACCTTTTCTAATAATTCGAGTGCAAGCTACACAAATTCGCGCCACTTTCCGTCCCAAATATGGCAGTTGAGCCAGCTGTTCACAACATTCGCCGCAAAATATCTGTAAGAGAAGCACGTGGATAAGACAGCGTTGTGATTCACGTTTAATTTGGGAACTTTGATTATTTTGTCATATATTTTTAGCAAAATTTGTTTCCCAACAATAGTTTTAAAACTGCTTCTGCAATAAAAATCACACACAAAAAAGTGTTTCTGAATTTGCTTGAAAACATTGCGAAATGCGAATTTTGCTTCCACATGTCCCCACCCTTTTTAAAAAAAACATCAAAATTTTCAAAGTCTTCCAAGGCAAACATTTCCTAGGCTGTCATCAAGTGATGACTGGCACACGAGCTATTTGAAAAATCACTACCTTCCCACAGCCTCTACAGTGATGTTTCCTTCTGGTCACTGAGAACGTTTTTCCACAGTTCATGCAGTTTTTACAATTCTCATCACTCATCCAAACTGGTGCTTGGATTCCAGGCTATAAAACCAGAAACAATAAAGTTATATTACAGTAATACCATACACGATGTAGTTTGGTTGCCCCCCCCCCCCCACACCATTTTTACTTCTGAAGTTATAATTGATTTCTCCGTAGACTCACCACAAAATTCGATCCTTGGCCACTGGTTTGTTGTGCTGGAGACTGTGTACTAGTAGGTAGATGGGGTAACGAGGAAGATCTGAAGACTTGCTGGGATCTTGATGGATCTTGGTGCATGGGTTCAGGAAGTGACGCTAGGGGTTGCTGTTGTTGTTGTTGTTGCTGTTGCTGTTGTTGTTGTTGTGGGTCTCGATATTGGGAAGGATTTGAGGTGTGAAAGAAACTGTGTTGATGTTCGTTATTTTGAGGTTGTTGTCCTGGATATTGTAGGGTTAGGTCATGTTGTTGTTGTTGCTGCTGCTGCTGTCGTTGTTGTTGTTGATATTCTTGTGTTTGTCTGAGTTGTTGTTGTTGCTGTTGTTGTTGCTTAGTTGCTGCTGTTGCTTGCCCTTGGTTTACGTAAGTCTGACCATGTTGTACTTGAAGAGATGTTTCGTTGAACGGACTAACTTGCTGAAATGGTTGGTTTTGAACTGGCTCTTCTTGCATCAGCTGCAAAGGTTGCTGGTTGAAATAAGTTGCATGTTGTTGTTGAATGGACAGTTGTGTCGTGGCTTGTTCCTCCTGCTGTTCTAGTAGTTGCCTTTTTTCACATTCCCTGCACATACCTATATTTTAGAAAAAATATTGAGCATTTTCAGTCGGCATTTATTAAGGATGAATTACATTGAGTGAGGTTTAGATAAAGCAGTACTGCACTGTCCATATTCTAGCGCAAGTCATCAACTCTCATCTATAGGAAAGCTTGGGATAAGTACATTTATGAGCACAAGCCTGGTGGGAAATGTTTCTGCAAACTGTTGTTTAAACTAACCATCATCCTGCTCAAACACCATCACAGCAACTTGATCTTTTAGTACAATTACAGGTTTCAATGCCAAAGGTATCCAAGTTTTGCTATCGACCATCGCCATCCCTTCAGGCAAATACTGACCAACCTTTGAGAGTGGTATCAACAGAGGTGGCACTGCCGACGGGATATCATAGGGGGAAATATCTTGCGTGTCGTTAGTAGAGGAAATTGACATTGTAGTAGTATGTGTTGGGTGGCTTTGGTCAAAACCGGTTGATGGTGAGTGAGATGGTGTACTATACTGGGAATTTGGTAAACTTTTATTAGGTTGGTGAACTTCAGAATGAACCATGATACCAGATTTCTGATCATGTTGGTCAAAATTGGTTGGTGGTCGATTTGATGGTGCATTAAACTGGCCATATGGTGAACTTTTCTTAGGGTGGTTTATTCGTTCGTCAGGAGGAATAACCATACCAGATATTTTATGATATCCAGTCTGTTGGTCAACATTGGTTGGTGGCGGGTTGGATGCAATGGCTGGTGAACTAAATGGGTTATTTAGTACCATGCTTTTGTCAGGCTGAGTTATTTCAGTAGGAGTTAAAAAAGGCTTTTGATTGTGCCCAATCTTTTGGTCAAAACTGGTTGGGGACTTTGATCCAGTTGGCAAAGTATTAAACAGTAAACTTCTGTCGGGCTGGGTAATATGGCCTGCGGTAGAAGTAACCATAGGCTTTTGGTCATGTTGGTCAAAATTCATTGGTGATTGATTTGATGGTAAAGTAACTGGTTTTGGAGAGCTTTCATTAGGCTGGATAATGTTGTACTCGTCAGTAAGCTTAACATCTTGTCCAGTTGGGTTGTTCTGGCCATCAAAATTAGTAGTTTGGTTACTGTCGAGGGGTATAAAAACTGGGGTAGCTTGGTGTACTGGTATCTGGGAGGTTTGGTTGGGAATTGCTGCATTGTTGGGTGTGTTAGTTGTTGCTTGTTGGCCAGGTTTTGGATCTTGTTGTATTTGCAGTGTTTGGAGACTGTTTGCTAAGGTGTTGGGCGATGTCATGGTTTCACTGTCAAATGCTTCATGACTTATTGTTACAGACTGCGAGACAGCAGGTTCTATATTGAAAATAAAATACTCCCCATTTAACCCTTACCCAACATTTATTTACCCCTTATTTCTTGCCAATATAAAGTATAAAATTATAAAAAGAGTATAGAAACAAAATTGGGCACATTAGGGAGCATGGCAGCTTAATGGGTTATTTAGAGAAACATACAGCTAGGTTTTTTTAAAGACGAGATAAAGTCCATTCTGCACATTTAAACTAGTTGCTTAATTAGGCACTACACCCGTATTAACCTGGCCATTGAGTGGCAGCACTCTTCCCTTGACGAGTAGGTATAATTGTCTGGCATTAGACAGAGTAAAATAATACCTAAAGTAGGGTGCATCAGGGCACATTGCAACTTTAAGGGTTAATGTGCTTATCAACAACCCTGTGTAAATTGATACTTTAACACTTCAATATCTTTGATGCAGTTCCTCCGGTAAAATATTCTGTGAGACAAATTATCTAAAGTACCTAAACTGTCGTCTTTCATGATCTGATTCTGTCCACTGGCATCAACTCCAACATTAATTTGCATTTCTGCACCACCACCATCACCAATCTTGTCATTTTCAACGTCATCATTATTTTCTGTAGTACCACTATTTGCTGTTTGGTCGACCACAACTGAAGTGGTGCCAGGTGAACCTTTGTTTGTGATAGCTGTTAGTAATAGCTTTTGAAGAGTCTCAACATCTAAACCATCCAGCTTGGCTTGTAATTCTTCAGCCATCGTAAATTAATCTATAAATTAACAATTATCATTCATACAATTTACACTAGAGACAAATCATTCATCAAGATACATAATTCACAAGTCATCTTTCTTTGTGTAAATACATAGATCTAACTATCACGACAAACTGGTTAGAATAGCACGACCTGTACTGGCAATGGTTCTAAAATCCAGGCTGATATTTAATTCCTGAGAGTTTAAATATCTATTGTACATAGCATACATAGCATTTAAGAAATTACACACATAGACAAATCTTTAATTCTGTGTTTGAATAAATTAGACCATATAGGCTCAGTACAAAAAGATTATTTTAATAACTACGTTTCGGAGTATAATTCCATCTTCAGGTTAAAAAGTAACTAAAGATATTACAGAATTACTAAAATGCGGCTTAGAGAAAGTTCCGACATACAAGATTTGAAGAAATATTTAATCAAGACAAAAAACTATGCAAAGCTGACAAGTCAAAGATGCTTCAACTTCATCAACTTGACAGATTATTTATCTGTTTGCAGCATTCATACAGAACATCAAAAACATTATATTCACCTGAGTGTATAACATCAAAACACACACAAAAAATAGCCACACTGTCAATACAGTAACTAATGTCAATTACGACAAATATGACAGGACATAATTAAATTGTATTAACTTTATCAAAATATAAAATTTTTTAGGATGTACAATTTTTTAAAACGAGCAGGCAGAAATTCAGCTGAGAAACTCTGTGTGGGGAATGCATTCCACATATCAAACAAACTTTAAAGTCTGGCAGTGCTTGGTAGAGTCAAACTGAAAGCACTCTTCTCATATCAATTATATGCAACTCAGGTGAAATTATAATAGGATGGCTGCAACATAACACAGGTGGCAATTAATCAATTTAGAAACCAATTGAGCAACACAAATTTACACGAAACTGAACAATGATGTCTTATACACAACTAACAAAGTAGGCTATTAGATCATTTTTTTAAAAGTGAAAGTGCCTATAGCATCAGTTTGAATATGAACTGTATATAGCATAATACAACCAAAATACTATATTCATATATGGTATAAACAATCAGCTGTAAACAAACGTAAAATTTAGATAATTCTACTCCAAATTTTTCATTTTATTGTACTTACAAGCCTTCGAAGATTCAACCCGACATACTTCTACTTCCGATATGTCGAAACCTGCACTGATACACAAACGTGAATGGTCAAATATTGGTATTAAATTTCTTGCATAATTTATACCATTCTTTGTTCCACTTTTCAAAGGAATTTTAAGCGCAGAATGGGCAAGGCGACGCTCACAAATACAAAAATAAAGAAATTCTATATATCTGCAAATAAAGGCAAGCGTTTTACCTACCCGAAAGCAAATTATAAGCAAGAAAATATCTTCGAATATGATGAAACTTTTTAAAGCCCCATAGTTACAACATTCTTGGAAAATACCAGTCACCCGGTCGAGGACTAGGGCGAGAAGAAGGCCGAAATTTGTTTCAAAATGGCGGTCAATTCCGAGCGGGAAATTCAAAGCAGTTTTAGTGAAAATATACGCGCTGTGGAAGGGGAAGGTTGTGAGGAAGAGACAGCAGGGACGTTTGATCGTGTAAAAGATATATTGGCGAAGTGTATGGAGAAATGCCTTACCCCTACTAGGTAAAAATTGTTTTTGAAAATGACAAAGGAGTGAAGATTAAATATAGTTTTGCATATTGGTGGGTTTAATCGCTCGCTAAGTACTTAATATCGTGCAGGACATGATGGTCAATCTGCAGTCAACGTAGTAGTCTTGTAAAAGTTCAAAAATACTGTACCATACTTTGAGCCCTTGACGTCATAACTCACATTTGTTAATTGTCATTTACCTGTTTGTAGGTTTGAGAATATTTCTTCCTGTCTAGCAGAAGTAAAAGAGAAAAACCCAACAGTCTTTGACAACATTGTACCGCAACTTATTGAGCATTTACAAGTTAACGTCAAGGTGAAATCAAGTAAAATTATAATCAAATATTAGATTGAAATTTACATTGAACTATTTTTACATCATAGAAATTATTTTTACTCACTTCGCTTTGTGAAACGATTTTAGCAAGAGCTCGAGCTGATGTTCCAACAAGAAAATCTGATCTCACTTGGTTGCCAACTGGATGAAATCACAAAAACATCAACACGCACAGAAGCAGCATGGTAACAAGCTCAATACAAACCCCTATCCTAATTCTTGGCTCGTGGGATAGTGAAGTAGATAGTCATCCAAATATTTTATTTTTCTGTCAAGGAGACCCTCTGGCATACCCAGTGAAGACATCAAGGATCATATCACGTCAGTCAAGTTAGAATTCCGAGATCAACTTCGAGAAAAACTGAAACAGGTATTTATAGAATACCCTACAATTGAGATGCAGTGACTGCTGTTTGAAGCATCTGACTTCCATGAGGTTTATGGTTTCACATTTTAACCGTTTTAGCTTCAAAATGAAAATGAAGTGTTGAAAAACAAGTTGATGTCAACAACAACAGAAATAACGGAAACAGAGCAGAGGATCATCGAGAAACACAACCAACTACAAACGGTACATATACAGTTAAATTTCTATTTCTTTCTAAATTGTTCTTCACTTCTGACTGGAGTTCAATTCCCACAATAGACAGTTGTCTCATTATACTGTAGTTTCAGCTCAGTCGCATGTGAGAGGAGCGCTCCAGTTATAACAAGTAGTCCAGGTTTTCTCTGGGTTTAATCTACTCTATTAATACTGGACCGATAAGTGGTAGTCTAGGGAGAAACGTTGATAGAGCTATCCAGTATAAATAGAGTTAGTTCAGTTTATTACTGTTAAATTGTTCTTTCATTTATTCCAGGTTACAACGGCTTGTGATTCGATAACTGCTTGCAACAATAATAACGACAGCAAATACTCATTGGAAAATATTATTAAAGAACTCGAAAGATAAAACCCACAAAATATATTAGAACAATCCAGCTTTCTTCACAAAAAAACAAATTTTTGACTTTTGGGACAAAGTGTGGAATGCAAAATATACCATCAGCTTACAAAATTGGATGTAACTTTTCAGATCTGTTACAAAATGTCAGAGATTTGATGCGCCGAGTGCATTTACTGTTTTATGATGTTCACAGTTTGAAACTATTATTTAGCTGTCTATGTAACCTAATTCCAAAGGATCTCAGCATTTTACCAGTAATCACGAATTTCCTGTGAACTTGTTACCTCAACGAACTGGCCTTCTGCACGACGCTTCGTAAAAACAGCATACCACAATCACAGATTGCATATTCTGAACAAATACACTGTATTTAGTACCATGTAGCTCTACTTTTGATTCCTATACTATGTTTTAGTCAGGAAAGAGAATAGACTATTTCCTCCAGTACTAAAAGAAAAAAATAATTTCATTACAACTTATTGTGTTTCTCTTGGCAACTCTCTGTAATGTGAATGGTGTATTTTCGGTCGTTGTGCCTACAAGGATAAACATGCAGGGGTTTCACTAAGCAGTAGATGGTGGTCAACCAGAACCTGCAGTAATGAGGGAGAAAATGTTATTTCTTTGGTTATATGTAGTAGTCTTGTATTTGGAGGTAAATCAATAGAATTGAGAGATGTAGTTAAGTTTTTTCGCTTCCATCAATGTCGATATTTGACCACTATCTGCTGCCTGATTTTAGAGAGGTTAAGATTGACGTTTACGGCATACCGGTGACGGCAAACTTGAAGTCGTATTTTGAGGTTAACTGTTCGAAGTTAGGACAATTTGTACATTAAAATTGAAGGATGACCTGACTAAAAACCTGTCGAAACCTTCGGAAACTTGTAGAACTTATCTTCGAATGCGAATTGAATTTTGCAGTTACCGGTCTGCCGTAAACGTCAGTCTTAACCTCTCTATAGTGTTTAGTGAAATCTTCCTAATTCTCACCTGTGCAAATTTATGTATCTGTTCAACGACAACAGCAAACATAGCGCTCACACTTTCATCAATCAGAGACTGGAGGTAATGAACAGCTTCCTCATCAGACAGGTCTAACCGGAACTTTGCTTCCACCTAGAAATTAAAAATGAACTTAACCTTTCTTGTTCATAACGGGAAAAACTATCCTCAGTTCATGTAGTGACGTGACACTAAAGATTCGTTGGAAACGTTTGGGACAGGGTTAGGGTCTGAAGCTCGGGGAGACGTCACTGCATCAACCCAGTGCAGGATAAGCTATCCTTACGGCTGGTTACTCTATCAAAGTTTCTGTGATCACAGTAGGAATATTCCATAGGTAAATTCCAAGTTTTGAAGGATTTGTAAGAAATGTTTGAGGGAACTGACACAGTGTTAAACATTAATTCAGTTTGCTCAAACATTTCTTAAGGCCCATTTACACGGTACGATTAGTTGTATACGATTCTTCCTCTGGCGTATGTGATCGAATAAACACGCGTACAAACGTCACATTTCAAATTTCGCCATTAGCGAATGAGCAATAACGTGGCATTAGCACTCGTTTTCATTCGTCAGAATGACAATCGTATACAACTAATCGTATCGTGTAAATGGGCCTTTAGAAATCCTTCAAAATGTTCGGAACTGACACAGTCTTAATTACGTAAACAAAACCTTACTATTGTGACCACACAGATTTCCCCTGCAGTTGCTGGTACTTGGTAATTAATATGTGTGTCTTTCATCTATGTGCCTGGGCCGATTCTTATAATAATAATACATGCTTTGTGATTATCACATACACACACAGACTCCTGCATCATCTCACCTTCTTCACTGTTTTATCAGGTTCCAACGCTATATCCGGGACAGTGGCATCCACCATTAATGCAAATAAATTAAGGATTAAATTTGCTGATCTACAACAGACAACATGTTTTAGTTAACAAGTAATGCGTCGTTTATCCAGACATTAAATGTTAGTCTTACCTGCGTAAATGCAAGAATGCGGTATAACATTGCCGTCGAAATTCTTGATAAAATTCACTTTGAGCTCCGCCCATTGCCTCCACCTGGGGATATTGAGAAACAGTTTAGAAACAAGAGAGTACGCATGTCTGAACAGCCAGGCCTGCATGGACTGACTGAAAAGTAAGCGGCTGATTTCCCCCAGGGATCAAATAATTTATACGATCTCCACGACGGCCGAGAGGGGCCTATAAATCCTAGTTTTGTTAGTTTCGGATAATATGTAATAAAGTGTAATATATTGCAAAACACCGCTTCTCCCCATTCACAATTATGACGTCATCTCCTTGGAAAGTTTTGCCCCGGAACCAGCGCAACTGCTCAGCTGCCCTGACGATCTGGTCAGCACTCGTTTCCATCCACCAGACTGACATGACGTCATTTTCGGAAGACGGAAGAGGTGTTTTAAAAATGGCTAAAGAAACAACTTTAGAATTTGATCAAATGACGTAACATCAGTTTGGAAACAAGTGAAAACCTGACCATCTCCATTACTGTCGATGCAATGGAAGTGTTGATAAAATATTGCATGAATTCATTTCCTCAAGTTGATCAATTCATACAAATTCAAATTTCTTTTTATTTCCTGTGTGTTTCCTATTGGTCAATCGGTTCTGGAACAAAATCTAATTGGCTCATCTAAAAGTAACAGGAAGTTGATCAATTTTCCATCAAATGAATTGATCAACTTGAGGAAAGGAATTGGTGCAATATTTTATCAACACTTCCATTGCGTCGACAGTAAGTCAGCGATGTGTAATGTACCAAATCGATCTTTAATAAATGCAGTTTTGTATCCGAGGCAACTCACCATTTCTTTGCTCAGTTTCATTGGTGGTGGTAATGGTTTGGGATCTCGACCAAGAATGTAACCAAAGTCAATATGAAATAAATTACCTAGAAAAAAATAACAAAGCTTCTGTAGAATTCAAACGGTCAATATTAAACGAATAAGACACGTCAACTGCCTTCAGATAAACTGGGTGTATGGGTAAAGGAAAAAGGCACTTAGTTAAAATTTACCAGATTTTGTGAGCAATAAGTTGTCCAAATGTCGATCTCCAATACCAAGGAGATACGTGATTACACAATAACCAGCTGAAAACAAATTGTAACGAGGTTTCTGATTTTAGTTGGGGTTTATGGAGGGAGGGGGCTTATTTGTGTACATTTCCGATTTGGTGTAACGATACTCACCACAACTTTTGACGTAAGTGTCCATGACATCAGGACTGATTCCACATGGCGCACTTTCACATGGTGCATGTTTACGAAAGAAATTCTGAAATATGAAACAACTGAAATATGAATAACATTGGATCAATGAGGGATGGCCTTACTGAATATCCGGAGGAAGAATAAATGAAGTTAGTTTTAATAGTATAAGTTTCCTGCTGTAGAATGGCCCTTACTGGACCTCTAGAAATAACATATAGGAAGAACAGTTTAGAAATCAGAGAGCTATCCAGTACAAATAAAGTTGGTTCGGTTGTATTACCTGTATACTACCATCGGAGGCCAGCACCTCTGCCACTGGACAAGATTCTATAAACTGCACACAACCTGGATAAAGAATTAGCGTTAAATTAGAAGTTGTCATTGCATGAGAAAGCAATAAAAAATAAACAAGGTCAATCTTCGTACCGCTGGTGGTGCTCGTTGCTAGAACATTGTACGGAGTCAACTTTAAATCCAAATTTTCAAGCATCAACAGCTGAGGAAATTACAAAATATCACGCTCAAGGTTTGGATTACAGTTTCATTCCTGACTGTATTTCTTTTGTTTCACGACAAAATTCGCACGCACTAGAAACAATATTCACCTACCTTATCCATTAGTCTGATAATTTGAAGTATCAACTGGTCTTGACGCAAATCGTCTCCACTTTTGAAAATTGCCTTCAGTGAAAAAAAGCGGATTTGATCTTTTTATTTCTACGATGTATTAAAGTTTAGCCAACGATTGTAAAGACTTACAATATATTCTTTGTCATCAACAGTTCTAAACGTAAATTTTGCTGGCATCAAAGCGCTTTTAAACAACGTCGCCTTCTCTGCAATTTGAAGAAAACCAAAATTATAATAAATTGTAAGTTGAGTATATAAGAAGAAAGGATCGAAAAACAAAGTGTAGAATACCTGCAATCACACCAGTTATTCTCACATTTGGATCAAGAGGCAACGGTAAAGGTTCCTTGAGGTCAATCCAATCTGGATTTTCTAGAATATTTTGCAACTTTTCAATCTAAAGTAACAGAGGAGTATTAGATAGCTCTAAAATTTCTACATACCCTCCTCAGACGTCCAGTGAAAACCACGTCATATAAGTTCAGTGTTACCATTGGAGGAAACCATAGTGTTGAACTGGAAGCACTCTGATGACATGCGACTGAGGTAAATTATAATCAAACAACTGCTTATTGCAGAGATCTATAGTTTAGATCTTATTTTATTTTATTTTACAATCTTTGTCACATGACCGGTTTAACCCACAGAGCTAGTTGCTCCTTTACGGGTAACCTGCTAATGCAATACTGAAATATAGGTTAACACAGTGGATATATCGCTTCAAAATCGCTAATCACTGAGACGTTTGATTTAAAGTGGTCCTGAGCAATTCTAGTCATGTGGATCGAAAAAAGGAATTTAATTTAAATTTCACATGCTCTCTAACAAAGTGATATTTCCACTGGGTTAACAGCAACTAATGACAACACAGTTTGACAGAAAGACTGGACAAGGGACGACACAAATGACACTTTACACACACTGTTTTAAACGTTTGTGGAACATCAATGTCGTAGACCTCTTCAACAAGCTTTTGGTAATATTTAAATAGGCCGCATTTAAATTGACTGATTGAGAGATTTGACTGCCGTAAGTGTGATGGTAAACAGTTAAAAGTCCTGGGTGATCTGCAGTAATAACTGTTCTGAAATGTTAAAGTGTTTACTCTAGGAACTTGTTATATAATTTTTGCTGTTCCATCATTTATTGCAGGGATCTATAGTTTAGACCTGCAGATGGAGGTAAAAGACAATGTAGTAATCACGATGGTACCAGTAATACTGTACTACCTTTTTCTTTCTATTTCCACCATACTGAGCGACAGTTTTCATGGTTTGTACAAGCTTTTCAATAAAGTGTTGTTGCCTTTTTAACATCCTTGCTTTACGGACTCTGGTAGGTATACCATCCTGAACAATAATGTTGTTAATGATGTTACTTTGTTGCACCGCATGCCCTTGGGGAGATATCACGTGATATCACGTATCTAGATGTGTTACAATGCCGAAACATGCATGTCTGCAGATTGTATATATATGAAATTTATATGGTATAAATTTCCAGGAAGCAGTCCAGTGTAGGTATAATATAGTCTACAAGAATTATAATTATTTTCAAACAGTTTTTCACTGGAACTCCACTTTGCTACATTCTTTACCTGCAGAAGCGCTTTAATATAACGACGGATGATTTTACTGTAAATAGCATGAGCCTTTGTCGTAGTATCCCCACTGCA